CAAAATATTAATAACTACAAAGTTTCTGGGCGTAAATTCCCTTAATATGAATGAAGGGTTGCTCAATCTCCTTGCCATACAAATTACAGCTCCTACTGACGTCTCAGTCGAGAAATACGGGTAGCTGAAGTTTTTCTCGCAAATCTGAATACAAAACCATATCCAAATTCACGTTCCACTTCTGAGCCTGTGTTGTGCTTCGCACACGCCGCTGAGGGCGGCGTTCCGGGAACCCTGCGTCTAGTTATTATTATTATTATTATTATTATTATTATTATTATTATTATTATTATTATTATTATTATTATTATTATCTTTATCTTTATCTTTAGCATTATCATTATTATTGTTATCATTATTATTATCATTATTATTGTTATTATTATCATTATTATTATTATCATTATTATTGTTATTATTAAATAATGTACAGTAATTAACTGTTTTGTTTTACATTGCACAGTAGATAAAGTATTGTCATGCATTTAATGATTTCATATAAGAATAGTAATAGTATGCTTGTTTAACGTATTCATTCATAATTTTGTAACATAATTTCAGTAAGTTTATTGATATACTGTATCATGATTTGCAAGAAATTGGAGTACACCTACAGCTGATTAGCAAACTTTACTGGGAATAAACTTGTATAATATAACTTTTGGCATGAATGATCCTGTGGAAGTCAAGAGAGATTTTTAGTTTTAATTTTGTTTTTAGTTTTTATTTGGAATGACTTTTATTACAGTGGCACACATCTAAAATGATGGTGCATCCAAAAGACAAAAATCAACAGAAAATTGAAAAAAATACAACATAACTACGAAGTCATTACCAAACTAAATGTTTGATATAGCCAAATGCCAGCCTTTTACCTAAACTTGTTTTCTTGCATGATGTAACAAGTAATTTTTTGCAGCAAATCTGTGGAGCACGCGAGTCTTCACACTGTGAATTAACGATCCGATCAACCAACTTTTTAGCTGCAGCTGTGGAACATGTGAGGCATTTTACGCTGTGAATTAACAATCCGATCAGCCCAATGGGCGGGTCTCTCTGGGGACGACTGTGGTGTTTATTTTTGGCCGCAGTTAACGAGCTGTTTATTTTTAGCAACAGTAAACAGCAAAAGAATTTACATGGATGGGCTTTGTATTCAACGTCACGTTGACCAATGTCTGTTCTAGGCAATTGGAAGAATTTCAAGTAGGCAGAATTCGAAGATTCCTTTTTTTTTTTTGAGTATGTTAAATTTACCGACCTAGGAAAATTCTTGTACGCAAAGTTGGGTATAAAGTTTGGGGTGGGATTATACCCGAGGTGGGACTATACCAGTGAGCGCTACGGTAATATTTAATAGCAATAGTGACTGACAGAGTTTTCTCTATTGTTGAAACCCTTGACCTTTGTGGGAGATGAAGTGGAAACCCATAAGGCTCTGACCCCATCACACATCTTAATAGGTAAAGTTGCAGGTTCCCAAACTAAAATTTCGGAACTCATTGTCCAGAGAAGATTTGAGTGAAAGAGAGCTAGTGCAACAGAGAAGATTAGAGTTGTTTTGGGATGTGTGGAAGATGGAATACATACTATTAGTAAATTTAAATAAAAGGGTAATGTGGGTCTAAGTTCACTAGTGTTAATAAGAGAGGATAATGTACCACGTATGAAGTGGCCCCTAAGACGTATAGTAAAAGAATTCTTTGGGAAAGATGGTTTATGAATCAAATCCTATTTTACATGAGACAATATTGTTATTGAGCTTAGCTCCTACCTACGATATTAATAATTAAAAATTACCCAATAAATATATAACAAAATTCTGAAACATGTAAATTATGAGTATTTTGCCATGCGATTAAAAGTCCAAAACGTTGGGTTTGTTCTTCTTATGTCATTCCATTCATAGAAAAAGCCAATGAAGAAAGCATACCAGTTGTTAATGTTGTATATATATATATATATATATATATAAATCATCAAAGAAAGGTAAATACAGTGTTCGAATAAAGGACTTAATAAATACATCGTGTAGCATAGCTCTCAACGAATGTAGTCCTGTAAATAAATGAATAAAGAAATTGTGTAATAAAATGCCTCTGGCGGGACTCGAACCTGCGGGACTCGAACCTGCGACCTCTCGCTGTCAAGGCGAGTGTCATAACCACTAGACCACGGAGGCTTCATGGTTGAACAGA